GACCAAAAAATCACAACACATAAAATGCTTTGGGTTGGAAGGAATCTTAAAAAGATCATCAAGTTTCAATTCCCCTGCCATGGGCAAGGAAAGATATCTTTCACTAGACCAGGTTTCTCAAAGCCCCATCCAGCCTGGCCTTGAACACTTCTAGGGATGGGTAGTCTATAACTTCTCTGTGCAACCTGGTCCAGTGTTTCACCCTACTCATGATAAGGCAACTCTCCTGTGTCATGTGCCCTGACCCCTCACCCTCCCAAAGACCCTGGGCTGGGCACACACCTCACCTATCTGTGTCCTTCCTGGAATGGGGAGACCAGGAAAGTGCAGAAGCGTGAAGATTCAGGACGCAAAATACCAAATAACAGAAGGAAAGAATTTTTAATGTTGTTTTTTTCTCTTGTTTATTCTGTTTAAAATTGTTTATTACCCAACCTCATAAAGAATTGCTAATGAAGGAACTAGGAGGGACCCTGGTGCTGAAGGCCAGCCCTTCTTCCTGGTAGAACTGTAGTTCCCTGTTTCTCCAGAGAAACAACTCTCTCTGACTTTCTTGCTTCATCTCTTGCTGTTTTTCATGCACTGCTGTGGAGTGTCTGGCTGGATCTTCAGCCACCCATTGGGAAATCACCTTGTTCTTGGACTAAAAAATCCCAGGGACCTTGATGGTCTTCACTGTCTGGGCCTGGCCATCCAGCCTGTTTTTTGTCCACCAAATGGTGCACCCATTCAAGCCATGAGCAGCCAGTTTCTTCGGAAGAATACTGCGGGAAACATTGTCAAAGGCTTTACTAAAGTCCAGGTAAACAACATGCATGGTTTCTCCCTCATCCATTAAGTGGGTCACCTTGTCATGTTGGCTGGGCCTGATCTCATGGTTGTCCTGTATGTGCCACGGTATGGCACTCAGGATGGTCTGCTCCATGACATTCCCTGGCACAGAGGTCATGCTGACAGACCTGTGGTTCTTGAATCCTTCTTCTGGCCCTTCTTGTGGATGAATGTCACAGTTGCTAACTTCCAGTCAACTGGGACCCACCCAGTTAGCCAGAACACCATATAAATGACTGAATGGTGATGCATTTGGCCTAAATACGGCTGTTTTGGGAGCCAGGGGCCTGTGACCTGAAAGATGCTCTACTGTGGAAGAAGGAGGAGGGTTGGGGGGAGAAGGTGCTGAGGGCCCATTTCCTAGGGATCACTCCTTTCTGTCTTTCTACTGCCCCTCAGTCACAGGGACTGCTCTCCACCTCCAGCTTTTTCCTCATCTCATGCCTGGGCTACCCTGAACAAGACAGTCACAACAGTGTTCCAGGAGGGTCAGAGGTCCTCAGTGAATCCACACCAACCTGGCTCTCTGCAAGTGACACAGCCCCTTGTGCTTAGCAGTGTCTGAGAAGAGACTTTTAAAAGTAGGTAGTGGTACAAAGTAATCCTTGAAAAAGAGGTGTGAGGGTTGGGGTTTTTTGCTTTAAAATGGGTCAGATTAATGAGTTAAATGAGAACTCAGCAGAATTTCAGTTGTAAAATAAGAGAGAATGAAAAGTTTATTCTGATACTGTGCAAACCTCAGCCTATAAGTTAATATCATGGAACTGGGTTTCAAACATCTCTCACTTAGCAGTTATTTTGCATATGGATTTTGCAAATGAATCTAGGAAACAAGGAACTTAAGGATGCCCTTAAGCATTCCCATAGTCATTACTTGTAACTACAGAAATCATGAGATAGTTATGTTTGTCCTCTGAAAAGTATGAGGGTTATGCATCATATGCATTAGATAAATTTAGTTTGAGGTTGCTGACAAACAAGATGTAAGGATGAAAGTCAGAGTGCTTGAAAACATAGTTTTGCATTAATGGTATAAATACATGTTTAAATTAAAACATTCCAACTAGCATGTCAGTCTATCTAATTAATCTTTGCAACTTCTGCCAGGGCTTGTATGCTTTGGAGTATTCTACTTATGTGCAACTATCTTGTCAATAAAATTGGTTAGTAGAGCCATCAATTGCAGTAAGTTTCAGCTATTTCTTTTCTGTAGTTCAAGATCATATCAATTTCTCAAGATGTTTCTATTTTTGTTTCTGTTCATGAATACTAAGGACAGCAGTGGTAATATGGGTGAAGATCTGAATTTATTCTTCAGTTCTGAAACTTTTTGAATAATGATTCTGGATCTAGAAACCTTTCTCGTATCCATAATCTTCTGAAACATAGAAGTCTTCATACATTTTATACCAGGAGGTGTAGTAAATATGGGAGATGCTTTCAAAATATATTATATTTTGCTTGCTATGGCATTTATGTAATGAAAAAAAGAGTATTCAGAATTGGGAATTGCCCTCTCCTTTCCCTTTAAGGAAAGATTTCAGGGAAGTATCTTGTATCCCCATAATACTCACCTTTAAAGAAATTCAGCACCTGTACCAATCTTTTATTTCTATCAAAATAATAACTTAATGACTTCCTTGTGTTTGTATGTAATTGAAAGTAATTTAAATTATTAGTAGTGGCTTTATTTAGCCATTGTAAGTCATAGGAAGAAATTAGTCAACAACTCACTTTAACTGATTCTACTGTTATCACACTCATTTAATTGTATTTGCTGGATCTAAGCCTAGGTTTAACCCAAGTTAACAATAAAACAAATTAGTCCCTTGGCTATATTTAATATATTACTACATTAAAGTAAGTACACCTGAAAAACAGAAATAATCCACTTGCCCAGAGATATTTAAAGACAAGAAATTAATACTGAAAGACTGTCTAAAAAATTTGCTGTGTTCCTAAATTTGTCTCTCCTCCCAAGATGATCCATTGAACTGAGAGGACAGTTTGTCAACACAGTAATTAAGTAAAGAAAATAGAGCAGTAGACAAGCACAAATTGTAGTGTAAAGGTACTTCAAAGGCATTTATGAGGTGCATTTAAATGATTAGCAGCATAACACAGTAAATGCTCAGTTGTAGTGAACTGATGGGTGAGAGACTGTGGAGACTTGCAGAGAGTTTCCACAGGTAGATCAAGTAATTCCAGCTTCTGTGGCACACAATGTTAGTCCCATAGTTACACACCAAAGTACAGCTTAGCTTTTTGTCAGTATTTTATGGAAGTGTCAAAAAGGCAATGCAGGGAGACACCTAAACTCTCACCACACTTTTTTTATTCTACAAGAGAATTTTTTGGCAATCATTCAGTGCAGAAATTATTGGCTGCCATACTAATTCTGTGGGTGTGATGGCACGCAGTTTACAGAGTATGCATGAGGAAACCTTTACATTTAGTCTAGTTGTGAGAAGAGATCTAGTTCTGCCTTTTGAATATTGTGCAGATGTACCTAGACAGAATCAAGGATGTATATCTATTTTTTTCATACAATATAATATTTCTCATTTCATAACCCTATAAACCTACTGTTAATTAATTGAAAAAAAATTAGTGTAGTCTAATTGCCTGTGTTAGGATTTGGGTTCATATGCATGTGTTGACTGCTTTGTGCTCATCTGAAAACACAATGCAGCTCTAATCCAGTGCTATAGTTTTGAACAGTGCCTACCCTCATAAGGTTCCATTTCACTATGTTTTCTTGGATACTTCTTTCATGGTAAGATATGCAGGCATCCCCAGAAATACCAAGGCACTGGAAAGAATTCAAAAAAAGTTTATTTAGAAGACCAGAACACCAAACCTAACAGCATGGTTTGCCCACTGGGCCTCAGGGAGGGAAAGGCGAGTTCCTGCCTGTCAGGTCTCCTTCTATCCTCTCTGTTTCTCCCTCACCTTCCCAAGGCCTCTGTGTATGTCTGTTAGGGCTGTCTCCTCTCACATATCAGAGAGGCTGAGAACTTCTCTTGCTATGCGGAGGAGAGGAGTGGAAGGGAAGAAAGCATTGAAACCGCCTTTGAGAGTTACCATTTAGGCAGAAAGCCTTCCTAGCAAAAACCGAATCCTTGAGTTTCTGTTAAAAATTCTTGTGAGGTTGTATCCATCCCTACACTTCTGCAAAAGACAAAATCTCTTAATAGCTGACTGTGCTGAGTTCTTTGTACTGGTCTGGTTAACTGCCTCTGAAATTTAAAATAAAGAGAGAAATAACAGTTGACTTTATAAATCTTCATCTCTAGTTATGATCTGTGTTGCTTATGGTTTTCTGGTTTTGATATTTTGTACAACTTTTAATAATAGAAGGAATTCCCAGCTAAAGCATTTAGAAATAATAATGAAACTTCGAACTCATGCCACTAACTGAAAGGTAAAAAGAACATTGTAAGGATGTTATCTCATACTTCAAACATTCCTAAGAAACTCAGAGATAAGGCTACCCTGAAAAATTTGTAATAACCAGAGGAAAAAAAGAAGAAAATCAACTCAGAAGATAGCCTTAACTGCTTTAAGACAACCTTATCTCTTTTCCTCAGTGGCTAAACCAAGAAGAAAGAGAAAGAAGCATAAATTAGAAAAAATTGTATTTGAACACTGGGCAAAACCCAATGTCTGTGTTCAAATTATAAACATAGAAGGGTTTCATTTTAACTGTATTCATGTGTCTATGACTTATTATGAACAAAAATAAGAAAGGAAGGTCAGAAAGGGTCTGAGAAGGTATGAGTTCTTTGAACAATGAGTATTGAGACAATTGCACAAACAGCAAATCTCTCCAAAACATGTTCTGCTGAAGCATCTTCACAGAATTACAGAATCATTAGGGTTGGAAGGGACCTCTGGAGATCATCTAGTCCAACACTCCTGCAAGGCAGGGTCACTTGGAGCAGATTACACAGCAACACATTTAGGTGGGTTTTGAATATCTCTGGAGAAGGAGACTCCATGACCTTCCTTGGCAGCCTGTTCCAGTGCTCTGCCACCCTCAATGTAATGAAGGTTTTCCTCATATTGAGCTGGAATTTCTTGTGGTTTAGTTTATGACCAGTGCTCTGTCATGGTCTGGGTTGGGAATGGGACGACAACAGCACAAAGGATTCAGACAAGGTAGAAGGTCTGGAGCTATCGCACTTTATTGAGTGAAAATGCTGGCTTAAAGAGGGTTCGGGGTGGAAAGCACTGAAATGGTAGGTGGAGCATGGGATTGACAGGAAGTTGAACAAATCAGGGAAAACAGGAGGGAACACTTCAGGAACAAGGACCAATTGTGCAGGACTCCACACTGCAGCTGAATCCTACCAATCAGAATGAGGGTACAGCAACAAGGGAGCAAACAAATCTGGACATGTCCAACTACAAGTAAAACTGGGGTACATAATTAGAAAAACATGCATTAACAATTCCTATGTACTATAGTAACCAAGTTCTTTTCTGTTACGCATACTAAATGCTGCTGGTATTCTTTAGTGTCCTCCCTAATGATTCCCATAGAGTTCGCACCATCTCTGAAACCATTTCCAGTCATCTTCCTTGTGCTCCACAGTGCTCCTTCTCCTGTTGGTGGGCACCACCAAAAAGTCTGACACCATTGCCCTGGCACCCACCTCTGAGATATTTATATGTATTGATGAGATCCCCTGTCAGTCTTCTCTTCTCTAGACTAAGCAGGTCCAGCTCTCATAGTTTCTACTCATAAGAGAGATGCTCCAGATCCCTAATCATCATTCTGGCCCTGCCCTGTACCCTCTCCAGTAGCTCCTTGTCTTTCTTGTATTGAGGAGCCCAGAACTGGACACAGTACTAGTAATGTGGCCTCACTAAGGCCAACTAAAGAGGAAGGATCACCTCCCTCAACCTGCTGACCACACTTTCTGATGCAGCCAAACTGGAGCATTCTCATTGTCCTTGGAACAAGGTTTAAATCTGGGTCTGCTCCAAATTGAAGAGAGTTGCAGAGAATTGACAGAAAGTTGCAAATGGAGGTTCTCAAACAGTATTGTAAATAGGAGCTAGTAAAGTCCATGACTTCAGCATTAATTTGGTTGCAGAATTCAGTTGAAATACTATAATTAAAATAATGTGAATATATGTGAAATTGCAACAACTAAAGCAAAATTTTTGTTTTTATCAGCTGTACTAATACTTTCGTATTCTTTCAGTACACAAAAGAATGTGAAAAAAAAAGTTGTATCAAAGGTTGACTTCAGAAGGATAAAATATTCTCCTTCAGGATTCAGGTTGAGATTTCCAGTAGGAGTATATCTTCTGCCGGATTTTGAAAGCCGGCTTCACACTTTAGAAATAAACTGGGGAAAAAACATTAAAGCACCAACATGCGATAAATATCAGCACCTGGTCATGAGACCAAAAAGCAATAACGAACCTGATAACCGACGGAATAAAAAGACAGCAAAAGCTCTTTGTCTTTCAATGTCTTCCAGCTTCAAATTTCAATAAAAGTGGAAATAATTCAAAGTCACTACAAGTGACTTAGTGAGCCACTACTCACTAATATGCCTTTTTTGGTATAGGTTTTAATGACCTCTCATCTCAGCTTTTTGTTGGAGACATATGGACCTTCCTGATTTTTTTTTTTCACAGACCTTGATTTCATTTGTTTCAGGGGTGGTGCAATTATGGATCTTTCTGGAACATTCTTTAAGCTTACAGAAATATATTTAATTAATGAGTACTGTAATCAGGGGTGACAGTATGAGTCATAATGTGCACGTCAATAGGGGCAGTTCCTTTTCTATGAAATAACTTTTATTTCATAACTCACAATGGTATAACCCTCCTGACACTGGGCCTTGTGCTCAAAGTTGGGACTTCTGATTTAGCTTAATTTTCTCAGTTTGGCTTTTCCAGCCTCTACTGCAAATTACGTATAGAATAGAAAGATGAGCATTATACTCATGCAAACTTCAGGTGCTCAAAGCTTATAAGCCAGCTTCACTTAAAGGTCATGAAACTGATCTCACTAAAATTCAAAAAGTTGACATGATCTACAATTAAAAAAGTCAAAGACAAAAAACTTCCCAATTTCTGGGTTGTTTGCTTTTTCTCAAACCAATTTAAAAGGTTACAGCTCTCTCACCTTTTGTACTTGAACAGGTGGTTAATTTTAACTCAGCAGTTGCTTGAATGGACCCAACACTCACTTCTATGGTGAAAGCCTCCCTGGCCTATCCTAGAAGATCAGGTTAGGAAGAAGGGCCATTATTTAGATGCTCTTCCCCAAGTGTATAAAATTCCTTATGTCAGGTGTTCTGTCATGTCAATTCTGTAGTTCTTTATATCTGTTATATCTTTATATCTATTTCCAAAGCCTAGCCAAAATACAGAACACTTCCAAGATCCTTTATGCTTCTGTCCAATTTTTGTTTATTCAGGTGTATCTTATGCTGAAAAAAAGACTGAGCAAGTTGCCAAAGATATCTGACCAGAAAAAAAAGAAAATCATGAATGGAGTACCAAAAGTTGAAATCTTCACTGTGATATTGTGTGACTGTTGTAAGTAAATCTCCTTTCTCTTCCCCCACCTTGTGATAGCCGCCCTTCCCCATTTCCAGTTTACAGTGCAGCTTGATAAGCAGACCTGAGATCATCACGTCTCTATAAAATTTCTTGTGAGTATCTACCTCCTTTTGATTTCACTGCTCTTAAAAAAAAAACATAACATGAATTGGCTGAAATCTTGAAAGATGGCAACTTAACGGAGAGTCTCTTGTGGCTGTGCTCTCTGCTATGGTTTCAGAGTAAAGTAGCTGGAAATCCACCACAACCCTTCAGCAGCTCTTCTGTAATGCATAAGAACGGTAAAGGGTAATTAATCAATGAGTGTTGTCAGAAGAACTATGGCTTAAAAGATTTCTGCTCAGTTGCTACTATATATCTAGAGTTTATAGAAATATGATATGCTTTTTTAATATATTTCTACTGAAGATTTTAATCAAGAAAGATTATTGGAAATTTTCAAGGAAAAGTATGATAAAATAGAAATGCCATCTCATTAGTTTTAGGTAAACTGACTAGAATGTTCCCCAAACCCCAGTAAAGCAAAGTTCAGTTTCAATAATTTCTATGTTATGGAAAGGCAGTTTTGGAAGTCAAATATGTTTGAAAATGAGCTTTGTCTAATTTGTAGTCAAAAACCGTAAAGTAGTCCAATGATATTGTGATATTGTATAAAACACATAAAAACTATATGTAAATATAAGTAAAAAAGCACTTTGGAGTTGAGTACTTGTGTGATCTACACTCAGTTGTCATAATCTCTTGTTATAGGTTTTGTAATAGATGCCTGTCACAGTGACTCTAATTTGCCTCATACTTCAAATATTTCATTGTAAGGGTACAAAATTACCACTGGGCATAATAAATAATACTGAAAATACTGTGAATATATTTTAAATGCAAATTCAAATACTCATTTACTGTGATATGTATTCTATTTTTCTTATTCCATGCAAGGTTTTAAATGTAAAAATTGGTGGTATTATGCTATGATGTATAAATATTCTGATCAGTCACTATAAATTATAATCCTTTAGAAATTATTCATTATAAAACTCCCATGGTAAAAAATTACTCAAAATGTTACCAGCTGTTCCATTTTGAAAACACTTCAGGTATTCAGACTTCCAATTCAGCCTATGGTATTTCATCTGCTCAGGATTTTTTGAAAAATCTTCCCATTTTGCATCCTTCAAAAAGGTAAAATATACTGAGTTAAAGTGAGAAAGCACAGTCAAAATAGGAGCAATATTTGTGTAAAAGTTGTAATGATTTTAAGAGTTTTTAATTGCTTTTAGAGCTATCATCTAGCTCAATAAGGGAGCTTCTTCTAGTTATTTTGATAGAAGGAGCTACAAAGCAACTACTGAACAAAGAAAGAAGTGTTACCTTTCAAATTATTACCTAGAGAGACAGGATAACAGCAAGAAAACATTTGGTAAGAGAAACTGATGAAACACAACATGCTTTTTTTCCCTCCCTAACTTCAGTGATAAAGAGCTTTCTGAAATCAGACTAGCAAATGAAATACATTTAAATGCATTATTTGCTTCTAACAGTTTTTCCAGCTCAATTCACATACCGTATGATAAGTCACTCTCATGATTTACTTGAGGCAATTTGCAATTATTAGAATCAAAATGTAATACAATAGTTTTTGAGCTTACTCATTGTCTGTAGTGCTGTCAGAAAAATTGCTAATTTGAGAGGCCATACTCTCTTCTACCAATCCGGACTCTTCATTGAATTCAAAATGTGGGATTTTTCTTTGAAGTTTCTAGGTAGTATGTAAATGTTACTAAAGATTTTCTCAAGCATTTTTTTAAATAAAACTTTGTGACTCTCATTGGGGTTATCCTCACAGAGACATAGAGGGGTACTTAAATCATTTTAAATTTTAATGATTAGAAAGTCTTATGAGGCGACTGAATGAGGTGAATTTGGATAGAAAATCTTAGTGTATGAAGCTTAACAAGAAAAAAAAGTGGGGAAAAGGAGAGATTAAGATTTACTTTCATTTTGTTTTTGCAGGGGAGAAGGGATAAAAGAGGTGACTTTTAAAGCATTTCCATCAGTATTAATCAATATGTATTAACTGTTATTTGTAAAATGGAGAAACATATTAAGCAGAAAATATCTAAAATATACTCACCCCCCCCCCAAGAAAAATTAGGTATTGTTTTTCAACTGACACTGGTTGTACCCATCATGAAAAGTTCTTTTTTATTAGTATTAAGGAAAACCTGTTCAAAGGCCCAGATAGAAGAGGTGCTGTTAGGTAACAAAGAAATCAATGGATCAATATGATAAATATAAAACCTTGATTTGGGTATTTCTGTTTTCTTTTTTTTTTTTCATTTTTTTGCCATCTAGTAGGAGCCCTGAGAACTATTAGGTAAAAAAAGGCAAACAAACAAAAAATAAAAGTTGGAAGTTAGAATGGGTGATTGGACTTCTAAGGAACATTTCAGTAGCTGTCAGCTTTTATACCTCTAAACAGGAATTCAACATAAAGAACTATGTAAAATGAGCAGCTGTTTTGTGTAGATACAGTCAGTCATAAGTGACAATAAACTCTTATTCGTTGACTCTACTACTAGCTACATTAACAGCTATTTAGATTAAAGATTTTGTTTACAACTGCATACTGCTGAAGAAGCAATATGAATGGATGATTTTAGAAATTGGGGTGGTGGGGAGAAGTAAAAAAAAACAAAAACAAAAGCATGGAGTTGTACGTTTATTTGTTTTGAAGGAACATGCCTTTCCACAGAAGCTGTTAAGTGAGTTTGCCATTATAGTATGGAAATAAATCGATGAAAAATCTCATGAGCAATCCTATCAAGAAATTTTTGACCAGACAAATGGAAAAGTTGCTCCTTCAAGTCTGAAGTTAAAGAGTGTGTGACTTTTTTTTGTAATGTTGACCACTGGACAGTAAATCTTGAGAGCTTTTCTTCAAAAGAGAAAATTTTTTCTACTTTCCTGATTTTGCTTTTGTATCTAGTGTTACAACTCTTTGGTAAAGTGATTTAAAAAAAACACTTCGAGGTTATTATGGAATCCTTATTTATCCTCTTTGTCTCCTAAATAAAGTATGTTTCTGATACATTTTTCTGCTATTTATCATAGTCTTATACAAAACAGGAAAAAGCCTAATATTAATCTAAAAGCAGCAGTACACAATTCAACTTATGTGATGACCTCTATTAAAAATATCTCTTCAGGATAAAATAGTATTTCTCAATTTGGTTGGACTGTATTCTCTTAAGTGGTCACTTACAATCTAAATAATTCTGTGAAACTGTGATTCGTGCTTTCTGGACTCAGTTTTCAAGATTATTTTTGCTTTTGTTTTGTTCTCCACTTCCACTGTCCTACTCCCAAACTATGTCTGACTAAGATGGTCAAAATTTGTTCCTTCGTTTTTGGAAAAAAATGGAAAAAAATGTGAGTTTATATAAACCTGGCAAATGATATAACTCAAAATTATACTCCTAACTATGGTTGTAAATTTGATTTTAGGATTTTTCACAATTATTGCTGACTGAGGAGAAATATGATTAAACCATCACTATGCAGAATATGTTTTAACTGTATTTGCCCTCAAGAACTATTGAACCACAGTTGCATACTAATTGCTTATTTTGCAAAATGTGCTACAAAACACTAATGAATATGCTTTGAGATATTTACATGAATAACTAAAGCTAAACTCATCCTATTAATTAGCAAAGTCAATTTCATGATGTATGTTCCAGCATCTCTTACTCTTTGTGTTTGTCAGTCAGTTTGCAAGTATCAGTCATTTTTTTTACTGCACAGCTAAGATTTAGTTGAAATCTTTTGTCTTTTCATAAGCAATGAGGAACTGAATTTGGTTTCTGGACCTGAAATACAAAATAATGAATATGTATGAAATATTACATTTATTAACTGTTATGGCTTATGACAGTGGAAGGAATGTCAACATCGCCAGTTTAATTATTCAGATTTTGACTTTGACTATATTTCTATGTCTTCAAGTTAAGATGCTTGAAATGTTCCAAAGCATTAGAAACCCTAAAGAGAAAAGGTGTTTTCCCTTTGTAGGATCCCCTAGTAGCATTCATTGCATATGATACATTTCATGCATAATTTCTTAAAATAAATCTGTGCATACCTTCATCAATAACATATGCAAAACATTCTCAGGGAATATTATTCAATGAAGTACTATGCCTAAAGCTGTTTGTGTTATTTATTTTTTCCTTATTATGGAATTCAAAGGAAAAGTAGTAGATGTAGTAGAAAAGGGTAGAAAAATTAGCCAATTGAATATTTGTTATCTTTTTTTTGGCATCTGTCTGTCTCTCACAAGGGATCCCCAATGTACAGTCAAGCTTATAAATAGCTTCGTAGGCTATGGTACATTAGACTGGAAAACTTTTTTGCTATTTTTTCTCTTAATGCAAGATAAAAAGCAATTAAGTTGAGCTGAATTCAAATAGGATTCCGCTTGGAGTTATCATCAGAAAAATCAATGTTTCATTTGATGAAGTGGTTAGCCAGCCTAGCAACCTGAAAATATCATGAAAGTCCATGTTTCATTTTTAATTCCTATTCTTTGGTTGCCATCAAATACACTATTCTTGTCATTTTCATTTTGGATAGAAACAGTAATCACAAAAGCTCTATGAGGCCTTTCAGGTGGCTAAACAACAGGATATAGATCAGAGCAAAGCACTGACTCCTCTGTCAGAGGGTACTCTCTTGACTCACTTCAAACTTTTTAGTAATTCTAAAAGTGAAGCTGCAACATCCTGTTGTTACTATGACATTCACTTTATAATCTGCTCTCAGTTGAAGGAAAAATATCCTGTGTGTAAGGCAAGTAATTCTCTAACTAGGAAATCTGGAAAAAGAAAACATAAAGTAATCTGTATGTTTTCCCTGTGCAAAGCCCTTCACTGTGAAGTCACAGGTTGTAGCATGTCTATTTTTTCCTACCCCTTTGTATTAAAAATCATAAACTGAAAATTCATTATCTACAAACTCTTCTTCTGAGTTAAATATGGCTGCAATATTAGAGCATAAATGTTATCTTTCCTCTGAGGAAAAAAACAGTAGTTTTCAGTCAGTGTTGCATATACTGTTGTAACGGTCTATCTGTTATGTGATGAACTAGGATAAGGCAGTCATATTAATTTGACATAGATCATCAAACTTTTCAAATATTAGAACTTATTCCCAGTTGTAGTGGGTTAAATAATATATAAAATGAACCAGAACATAAGAGAAGTCATACAATGCCTTTAATTTCCCCTTCCCTCTAGGTTTCAAACTCCTCTTTAATTAGAATTTTCTATCTACTACTAGTAGATTGAAATAATAAACTATATGTTACTATAATGATCAAAATGCCTATCACCACTTTCCAGTTTTACTGAATTACTTCTGCCTGGTGTATTTGCATTTATTAGGCACCACAGTCGAAGCTGGGAGAGCTCCTCCATAATGTGCGTTCTCAGAGATGTTAGCAGAACTGAAGAGTGTGTGGGAAGAGAGCAGTGTTTAATGATGCAGTCCCACAGTCCTTTTCACTTTGTAGGAGGTGCTTATGGAAGTAGCCAAACCAAGTCTCTGCAGCTACACATGATTTTTTATCCCTTTTGCATAATTTTTGACAGATAGCAAAAACGTGTCACCGCTGTTTGCAGGGGGTGCATAACATTTAGTGGATATAGAGCCTAAGGTAGCAAGAGCTGCTGCTCTGCTTTATTTCCATTGCAAATTTCACGTAACTGTGTGGAAATGTCACATTACACACTGTCTCTTTCAAGTGCCTTCTGTTCTATAATATAAGTTATCTCTTTGTTTACATTTTAGAAAGCTTGGTGTTTAGAAACTGAGGATCAGCTACTCATTTTGTGATAAATTATCAAGGCTTCTGGAGTTAGGGCAGCTTAGTCCGGCTGAGATCTGCCCTGAAGAACATAGAAAAGGAATCTGATATATAAGCTTTGTAAGAAGACTGCTATTTGACCTTTATCATAGCAAAACATTAGTAATTCACATTATGGTTGTCTGTGACTCTTCCAATCAGAAGGCATTTGATATTTCAGAGACAATTAGGGTCCAATGTAAGGCAAAAAGTTGCATAACAAAAGTACTAAAAGATATTTTCTCTGAGCAGCGGTATTCTGATTTCTAACCTCACAAAAATGGAAGATAATTGCATGGAGGCATTTGGTACTGTATGTTTCTTATCTTTGTCGATATTTTTCCCCTTAAAAAAGAAAAAAGATAAGAAAAAAGGTGATGATAGAAATACCTCATAGAAGGTTCTGAGATTTCTTTTGGGAAATCAAATTTTACAATGTGTATTGTGTGGTTTTGCAGGGATACGGAGGAACTGGTTATATTATCTAAAAATGGAGGCTGAGAACAAGGGTGACAGGAGATGGAGAGAAAAAAAAAAGAGAAGGGAATTTGTTTTCCTTCCCAGGGAGAGAAGATTAAAACTGCTGTCTAAGGTATGTTCTTGAAATTCTAGTTCTCTCTGATTTTGTGATAATAGCCAGTTAGAAGGGAAAATGCTTAAGTGAGAAACTTCACTCTCTACTGAGGATTTGGGCAGTTGAATAGTCATTTCCACTATTCACATTTGAGTTTAAATACAAGCGATGGTATTTAATATGTCCTTCTGAAAACCTTAGGGCATTTTGTCTTGGGAAAAACAAGTGAACTAATCAAGTTCACAAACTAAACAAGTCTTGTTTTAGTCTGTTTGGGAGCTCACTGTTTTCTCTGCTATTCCTGTCTGTAGGACTGTAAAACTCAGTTGTAGACATGTAAAGCTCAATTCTAATCTCAGACATGCAGGTATGCCAAAATGCAAGCAGCTGGTTGAAAAATCCTGCTTGGTCCATGCAGTTATTCATTTTGGTGCTCATGTATGTGTGATTAGAATAGAGCTCTCAAAGTGTCAAATCTGCAGCATCTGCAAAAACAAATTCCGAGACTAGGAGAAACATATGCATTACATTTCAGCGATACTACCTGAAATATTATTCATATTCTATGTCACAGATTTTTACGTAAATTCAAGTAGTAAGTTACATAAATTAACATTCATATTTATAGGCTGTGGATTTCAATTTGCTGAATCAAACTAATAGAATATATATCTCATTGGTTTGCAAGAATTTATGCAAGATTAGGCCTTAAACATCAAAATTCTGCGAGTTTATGCTTATTCTTCTTGCAGCAACTACAATACATACATTGCTAGTTAGGGAAATCTTAATTTCATTTAATTAGGTCAGTTATCCTGATGCCTAATCTATTACAAAACACACAATTTTCACTGTGTGTGGGGAACAATTAGTAGGAAATATTTAAAGACTCAAATAACTTCATTATAAAGCTTGCTAGCTAGGGCTGAGTAGTGTTTAAATTATTGATACCTCATTTAAATTACTTAGCCCTCTAGAAAAATACACTCTTATTTGCTAATTCATTGAATATTCCTTGTGAGCTATAGCCTTGCCGATGTACATTCTTTATTCATTAATAAAACAACAACCATTTGGGTTGCTTCCTTTGTTGGAAAAAATAGAGACCACAGAAAATCAAGAGAGAGCACATAAAAAGAACTATCTTTAAAAAACAGTGCTACCAAATTAAAGACTAACTAATCACGTATTTGTGGGTGTCTAAATAATTGACAAACTAATAGCTGCTTTGTCATGTGCCCTGGTGCTAATCAGTAAATGTTCTCTCCATTTTATAAGTTTGTGCAAACTGTGATGACTTTTGATTGTTTTGCTCATCTAATTACTTTGATAAAATAAGGAATAGGGTAATAAGAATACAAACATATTTTTATAGAAAAAGACTGCAGCTCACCTGTCTGTACCTTTACCATTTCAGAAATGCATTGAAACTGCAAAACAGGAACATTAAAAACTCATTCACTGGAAGCCCCTTATTTGAAAAAAAAGCTGAGCTGCTTGCTCAATGTGTATCAAAATCCTGTAAGAACTGAGTACTGGATGAAAGAGATGGGGCTGTACTCCCTCTATCTGTCCTCAGTCTATTTGCCTAAATCTGAGCACTTATTTGCTGTCCCTAATTTAATCATACTTATTAATTGATGCAGCGAGAAATATTTTGATGATATCTGTACTGAATCTTTCAAATAAAAAAATCATTGGCTCTTCCTTTTTTCCCCTTTTTTTCCTTTTTTTATTATTATATTGAGGAAGACTAGTCTCATAATAAGAACTTCACTTAATTGCCTCAAGTAAGGTAACATGAATTTTGATCTTTGAATCAACCTGATGTTGATGTTTTTAGTATATCTATCTATTGGGTTTGCATGGCAAGGTTTTGGTAGTGGTGGAGCTACAGGGGTGGCTTCTGTGAGAAGCTGTTAGAAGCTTCCCCTATGTCTGGCAGAGATAATGCCAGCTGACTCCAGGATGGACTAGCTGCTGACCAAGGCTGAGCCAGTCAGGAATGATAGTAACACCGCTGTAATAACACATATAAGAAGGAAAAAAATTTATTGCACAGATGTAATTGCAGCCAGAGAAGAGTAAGGATATGTGACAGGAACAACTCTGCAGAACCAAGATCATTGGAGAAGGAGGGGAAGGAGGTGCTCCAGGCGCCGCAGTTGAGGTCTCTTGCAGCCCATGGAGAAGACCATGGTGAGGCACATTGTCCCCCTGCAGCCCATGGATGTGTATGATGGAGTAGAGACCCACCTATAGCCTGTGGAGGAGAGCCCACTGGAGCAGGTGGATGCCTGAAAGAGGCTGTGAACCCATGGGAAACCTGTGCTGGACCAGGCTCCTGGCAGGGACCTGTGAACCTGTGGAGAGGGTAGCCCATACTGGAGCAGGTTTGCTGGCAGGACTTGTGTGGGAATGCAAATTCTTCATGACACTGCAGAAATGAGAAGAGATTTCAGTAAGAAGCCATGGGGTTTAAGCAAAAGCAAGGAAGAACTGTTCGCACTCACTGCTTGAAGTCTTGCCTCATTTGTGATAAGCAAGACAAACTAACAGACTTGTAAACAGCGCATGATAGCTCTCTTTATGGCTTTATTTTGCTCGCCCCATCAGTGGTTTTAACCGTAATGGAAAACTGCTTACCTGTGTGATGGAAAAATACTCCCTGTGTGTCCCTTCCCCCTAACCCTGGCTATGAATGGAGTGGAAAAGTACTGGTATGCATGCTCTTTCCCCAAACCCTATATATACCAAAGGTTGTAATCAATAAACAATTCAGTTTGTCCATACAACCTGAGTCTGTGCATCAGTTGCTACAGACTTGTGACCCTGCTCCCACACTGGAGCAGTCTGTGCCTGGAGGACTGCACCCCATGGACAAATGACCGACACTGGTGCAGTCTGTGGAGAACTGTCTCCCATGGGAGGGATCATGTGCTGGAGCAGGGGAAGGACACCTTTTCCTGAGGAAGCAGTGGCAGAAAACAACCAGTGCTGAACTGACTAGCCCCCATTTCCCATCTCCCTGCGCCACTATGGGGGAGGAGGTAGAGCACAGGAAGGGGGGAGGGGTGGGTGGAAGGTGTTTTTAAGATTTGTTTTACTTCTTATTGTCCTGCTCTGATTTGTTGGTGACAAATTCGATTAATATCTCCAAGTTTGTCTGTTTTGCCCATGACAGTATTCAGTGAGTCATCTCTCCTAGTCCTTATCTCAGCTCATGAATCTTTGTTATATTTTCTCTCCCCTGTCCAGTTGAGAAGGAGAGTGATAGAGCAGCTTTGGTGTGTGCTTGGTACCCAGTCAGGGTCAACCCACTACAGTCTATATATTTGCTTATCTATATATCTATATCTGTCTCTGAAAGACGTTGTAGAACAGGAGAACTATTTCCCTTTCCACACAAAGAAGAAACTTTAAATCCATCAATTCTGCTGGTGCTATTCAAGCTTTGAAATGACCATCATTACAAAAGGCCCCAAAAGACAGCATATTTAATGCATAGATTTAGAAGCATTAATTATTAAAAATACCCACTTTATCTTAGACACAAATGTATTTAGGGGAATAGTTAAATTCAAATTCATTGGAAGTTGATGGTGGAAACAGATGAAACATATATTTAATATATATTAACTTTTGTATTCTTAGTGATGTGATGTTTGCTTTACAGTTGCTTCAGACAAATGCAAATATATTGGAGAACCAAAACTTTCAGGGTTGCTTAGGGTATACAAAAGCTTTTTGTTTATTAAATGGAAAATAGCAGGCTCTCTAGAGGAAAAATCTGGACACTTGTCCAGACTCTCTTTCCATTCTAATACCCAGCACTAATTAGTGTTGACTGGGTAAAAAACTAACTACAGTACACAAAAAATGTACATGTTTTAAATCCTGGAAAGATAAAGTCAAGTCCATTGCACATGTATAAATACGGCAAATAAAGTACAAATAGAATACAGAAATAAAAACAATGTGCAAAGGTATAAATAATGCAAATGAGTAATGAGTGCAGTGTTTTCAGAAAACACAAGAAAGTCACAAGCATAAAAAAACCTAAAAAACTGTCATAAACTGAGAAGTAGCTGTAGGTCAAAGAGTTTAAGGGCAAGTTTTAAATGTGAAAACCTTTATAGGTACGTATAAATGGCCTTTGTTGCTGGAAAACATCGAGCCTAGCTTTGAGACAAAGCTGAAATAAAGAAATAACAAATGAAAATCTAAGTTACAAGAACAACATTGCCACTGTAAATTCAAGAATGCTGAAATTAGAAGTGTCTGAATCAATGTGGCCATGTAATCATTTGGATTTCCCTTTATTACAACGATTGTGAAGGTATGTTGCCATTGACACTCTTGCGTCTAATGCACAAACCAAGTGGAGGTAAAGAGAGAATCAAGTAAATCTGAGACATCCATGAAATGAGAACAGCATGTGTCAGAATTTCCCTGAAACAATGAAATTTCCCTTTTTCTTGTCTTTTTGCTTCAGACCCAATACCCTCTATCAGGATAGTTTAGTGTATGTTCTTCCATGTTCTTTATCTTATCTGACTTTTTTCTGACTTTTGAGCTTCACTTTTCCTGATCTCTTGATCTGACTTTCCCATTCCTGACTGTCTCCAACGAAGTTATTATTCAGTCTGTTTATATTATGATTTCCCAGTCAAGCCCAGTTCTTCTTCAATTCTTTCTCATGTTTTTTTTTCTGACTTGCAGTTCTCTGCTGCAAGCTAGTTACCACTTCTCATGTAGGCAATTTAGATCTCCCTTTTCTGAGTTCTAAACCTGGATTTTCAGTGTCTTTATATTAATATCCTTTACTAGTTTCATCTTGGTTATAAAGTAGTCTCCCAACCCTCTGCTTTTTTCCATCTTTATTCAAATATAAGCTTTTTAGAAGATTTTAAGTCTTACAAGTAATACTGAAATCATTGCATGGAAGCTAATTGATGCCAGTTAAGAATATGGGCATATTATGGGAAATTGCTTGTGGTATCTACTATGGAGATTTCCTGACACATCCACCTATTAGGTCCTCTTTTCAGTGGTTTATAACTTTGCAAAACTTTAAAGTTAGGTATGGATTTTTTCATGCTGCATGTCTGTCTTGGGATATACCTATCTAGCTTCATTCAGAGCAGTGCAGTTCCCAGGAACAAGGCTGTGCAAAACACCGGAATTGTTAAGATAGAAAGAATAGCAATGTTGAGAAAACAAATCATTTTCATCAAGCCTTCCCATACTGTTGTCATGACCACCACAGGAAAATCCATGAAGAAATTATTTACTCTTTCTTTAAAGAAGGTTATGCACTAGCAGTGAAAGAGGTCCAATGCAAAATGAGTGTGATCAGGTAATTAAAAATTTCCTCATAATGCAGGTGCACTGGGTAGAATTACAGCTGTACCAGAAACCGTAGTTTTGCCGTAATTTTCTGAGTTTAACTTTCACAACTTAATAATGCTGTGTTAGGATCATGGCATGTTTACTTTGTAAAGCAGTAGGGTTAGCAAAAATATCTGCATAATATTTTTTCTCTGTTTTCCCTAATGAATATAATTTCATTTGTCACCTCTGTCATAATACATAAAGCTAGAAACTGGAATCACGTAGGAAATTGTCAGGTTTTGTACTTCAGAATCTTAATTTTTGTCATTTACCTTCAAAATAACCTTCAGTGGTAGGTACTCTTCTAAATTAAATGATCTTTCAAATTTTATCAGCTGAGGTTGTTTTAGCCTCCATATTCTTATTATCTGTGCTGATAAAATAAGATTTCTTCCGTAAAATAGCATCTAAGATGTAGTCGTGGACCATTGATAAAAATACTCTCTCTCTCCCTGTTTTTCATAAGCAGGTCAGATTCTGATCTCACATTGATATTTTACTGTCATGAAATCATTGACAACAAAGCTCACGTTTGACTTGTATAAAGGTGTCATTAGATGCTGACTTGAACACTTAAATACAATATACTTCTTGAATTAAGAGGCTCTCTCTAAAAATAAGCACTGTTCTTCAGAAGCACATTAGTATTTATAAACTTCAATTTCATGTTTATGTGTAGACTCACATGGGGTATGTAAGTTAGCTTCAGCAGTGAGCTAAAGCTATTTAATGTTATAGCCTCACTTTTTTGGCTTACCTTTCTAAGTGGTAACTGTTTAAAATGTATTATATCCTGTATTCATATAGATTTATCAGAGATTAAATGGAATTACACACCTAAGCCCTATTAAAACTTAAAAAGAGTTAAGCAGCTAATTCTCTGTCAATTTTAAAGACTAGGGGATAAATTTTAGATAAACCAATTCCATTACTTATTTGGGTCAAAAAATAAGTTTTATTTGCGTTCCTTTTTTTTTTCCTTATCCTACTTGGTTTTTTTCTTCAGATACAGGAAAAATGAGTTATAGTATTTT